TAAAATTGGTAATGGTTTATCATCACCAAGTGGTAAGGGACTTTTATCCACTTCAAGAGTAGCTCCTGCATCACCAACTAGTAAACAAGGGCGTTCACAATTAAATAATGGTACAGCTGTAAATTCATCAACTAGTAATTTAAGTTCTAGCAAACCTGATAAAAGTAAGTATTCTATTCTATTATCTCTTTTCATTCGTTATTATCCTTTTTCATTTGTAATTATTTATCTAAATGTTTAAAAAAAAAAACAAATCTATATATTTTTTTTCAATTAAAAAGAAGCAAGGACTAGACGCCTATCAACTGCTATATCTAATATGTTTTCAGGAAATAAAAATAATTTATCTTCTACAAAAACTCCGACAAATTTAACTTCGACTAGTTGTAAACAGCGCACAACTCCACGTTCCACTCATTCTTTGAGTGCAAATTCTTCATCAACCAATCTTCCCAGTTCATCTAGTTTACTTACACCAGGTTATAATACTATGGAAGTAGATTCCTCTTCTTCTGCTGCAAGTACGCCAAGTGGTTATAATAATTCTGCTGGCCAGTATGATGATAATACGACAAGTGGTGATGATGAAACTACTAGCTTTTTACCAGGATCTGAAAAGAGCAAGAAAGAGCGCGAAAGAGAACGAAGAAGGCAAGAAGCCCGAATGAAAGGGTCTTCAGCCATGAATCCTCACGTAGCACTTAAAACTTATGCACCATCTTTATCATTATTTGAACGTTCAGAAATATTAGAATATTCTGAAGTTTATTTTGTGGGTCAAAATGCCCAAAAAGTCGCATCGAGTCCTGAATTGACTGGTTGTAATTTTGGCTTCGATGATGATCGTGGAGATTATATCGTAATAAACAATGATCATTTATGTTATCGTTATGAAATAGTTGAAAGTCTAGGCAAAGGTTCTTTTGGTCAAGTATTAAAATGTCTTGATCATAAAACGGGAGAGTATGTGGCTGTTAAAATAATTCGTAATAAAAAGAGGTTTCATTGTCAGGCATTAGTAGAAGTAAAAATTTTAGAATGCCTAAATAAATGGGTATGTTACACTTATTAATTGTTCATTTCATTAATTAATTTTTTTAAAAAATTTTTGTCTTTAAATTCAAAAAAAAAAATATATATATTTTTTTTTAAATATCCTTTAGGATCCTGATGATTCTCATAATATCGTTCATATGGACGATCATTTTTATTTCCGGAATCATTTATGTATAGTATTTGAGCTTTTGAGTATGAACTTGTATGAATTCATAAAGAGTCATGACTTCCAAGGATTCAGTATTGGATTAATAAAAAGGTACGAAATATATATATATATATATACATATATAGCTTTTATTTCTGTTATTATGAATTATGATTGCAAAATTTTAAAATAAAAATATATTGATTTAATTCTTTGTCATAAAGATTTTGCGTCCAGCTGCTGAATTCTTTGTCACTACTACAAAAGCACAATATAGTGCATTGTGATTTAAAACCGGAGGTAGTTGTCGATAAAAATTACATCTTATACATTATTGACCCGAACTATACTGAATAAATTTATTATTTAATGAGCAGAATGTGCTCTTAAAACATCCGACAAAGAGCAGTATTAAAGTCATTGACTTTGGCAGCAGTTGTTTCGAAAACGAAAAAGTATATACTTATATTCAAAGTCGGTTTTACCGATCCCCTGAAGTCATATTAGGAATGACTTATAATATGGCAATCGATATGTGGAGTTTAGGTTGTATACTTGCTGAGTTGTACACAGGTTAGTTAAGTGATTAGTTTAAAATTTTGTAATATTTATTATTTATTATTAATGTTATATACTATATTATATTATATTTTTATAATTGTAATTAGGTTATCCACTTTTCCCAGGGGAAGGTGAACAAGAGCAATTGGCATGTATAATGGAGATTCAAGGAATTCCCGAGAGATATTTAATAGAAAAGAGCACAAGAAAGAAGCTCTTTTTCGGTATATATATATATATATACATTTTTTATTACATTATCAATATCACATTATTTATCTTTTTTTTTTTTGCTAGACTTAAATGGTAATCCACGCCCGGTTATAAATTCAAAAGGTAAACGTCGGC